CATGCAAACACTCCAAACATTAGAATCTGAGTCCACAAAAGCAAAGCAAAGTCAAATCTTGCTTGTGTGCACTCATCAGAAATGTGCAGTACAAAACTTAATGAAGGTGTAATCAAGAAGGCCCAAATCCTTTGTGGATGAATTCACATTCATTGTAGCATCATTCAATACTGGAATTGAGTAAGTACAATAATTACCTACAACACCAGAATGATCTCTAGGTGTTTACAGAATCATGTAGTTCCATTTGTCTTCCTCCTTCCAAGAAGATGAGGTAGGCAGAAAATAATCTATGGACAGAAAACAGTGAGAAGAAATCAGAAACAAGGCACTGAAAAAACCTTGAGAACAGACTGCCTTTTCTATTCAGTCAGAACTTTCATTTGTCCCTCAGTTCATAACCTGAAAGAGATTAAAGTATGCCACTGAGCAACTGTCACCTCAGATCCTTCCACAATTTACGTAAATTACATATACAATAAACTGTTCAAAGAAAGAGAAGGAATGAGTATGAAATCTGAATACATAAACTCTCAAGAAACACTGTATTACAAGATTAATTATAATTATTTTTTTTAAATAACCTTAGTACATTTTCACTACTTTGCCTAGCTGTAGCTCCAGGAAGAATCCAGCCTGCTGAGACAGCACACATCCTCTTTTTGAATCAAAGTGACCACAGACACTTTAAGAAAGAAAACAGCCCTGTAAGGCACCTGCATGCATAATGTGGTATCTAATATCTGACCTTCAACAGTTTGATCTTTCCTACCAGGTGCAAGGACCTTCCAGCTGTGAGAACAGTAACATGAACTCACCTGGAGCCCATAACCTCATCACTTCTACATGGCTGCATTTGTTAAGGCCATGCAGCCAATTAATACAATTATTTATGATCTCCAGTTGCTTTGTTGGTTATTTTGAATGAAAATTTAACAACAATTTTGTTCCCACAGAAAAAAAGCAAATAGTGGATAGCGAGGTTTGCAGTTAATTCATTCCTCCATTTAGCTGTAATAAAAGGGAAATCTAGCTGATAAAGAGGAGGCAAACCTACACCTTATGTTTTGTAAAGGAAACACAGCAATTTCCTAAAAGCTGAAAAATCTCACATTATTGGGTGATGTTTTGTCCATTTAGGTAATTTCCCTTATCACAACTGAACTACGTCAATACCAACATGGAGTATCAGAACCACTGATACTGGGGATCTAGAGCCAAAGAATTGGCACAGCTTCATCCAGTGTGCGTCACCAGTTAGCAACAGTTTGCAATCAGCTTGAACCATAACAGCTTAAGCCAAGATTTTTTTCAATCTCTGTGGATTTTCTTCTTATTTTATATTCATATTCACTGCCTTTCTAACACAACACTTTAAAATCTACATGCTGGCAGGGTCCAGCAGCAGACCTGCCCTTCCAACAGACGTCCTCAAAAGACAGTCTGATGATGCTGAAGGGCAGCAGATGAAAGCACTGCCTCAGCTGAGGGTTACTGCCATCAGTTTGGGTCTGTCCTCCATTGTGCTGCTTAACATTGTTCAGCAAACAGAAAACAGGAAAGGCGTGAAGTTGGAAATGTGATCTCCGCTATCAGGAATGCATCTCTGAAGTTCAAGCTTTGTTGTTCCTTTTCCTTTTTTTTTTTTTTTTTTTTGCTTTGTTTTCTTTTTGTGTTTTAAAAAAGTCTTTATCTGCGTGCATCTCCCGGAGTTCTGCTGCAAAAACACCTTCACAAGAACGGAAAGGACGGTTCCGGGAAAGATCACTGAACACATCTCGTGATCCGTTTTCCAACGTGACGCATCCCCACAACACAAAGCGTTTGTCTCTGTAAAAGCTGCCGACCTGACCGCGAGTTCAAGCTTTTTATCCCTATCCACGCTCGTAACAAGACCCGAGCGGCAGCTCTTACTGAAAACAACACTTAGATGTCTTCGCTTCGGACAGCGGGAAGTTGGAGCACCAGCGGGCTGACAGCCGCTCCGCCCCTAACGGTGCCAGCCGGGGCACCCTGCCCGGGGCACAGCGCGCCGCGGCACCGCCGCCCGCCCGCGCACCGCCGCACTCCCTCCCCGCTCGGCCGCGGGAGCCGCCCCCGGAGCCCTCCTCCTCCGCGCTCTCTCCTCCCCCAGCCGGCAGCCCCAGCCCCCTCTCCTCGCCGTCGAGCTCCCGCCGCCCTCTCACCTCTCGCGGTCCGGGAAGGGCCAGGAGAGAGAAGAAAGGAGGGAGAAAAAAATAAAAAAATAAAAAAAATCACAAGGGAGGCCCCGGCACCCCCCGCCCTCCCGCTGCCGCTCTGCTCTGGGGACGGCAGCGGGAACCGGGAGGCCGCTTCCCGCCGCTAACGGGTCCCCATGGGCCCCGCCGCCGGCCCCTCCCCGCGGGCGCGCTCCGGCGGCTGCGGCCCCGGGGCCGGCCGCGCACGCGAGGGGAGGGGCGGGGCGGACCCGCGGCAGGGGCGGGGCCTATCGCCACGCCTACTTCGCACAGCAGGCCCCACCCCCCGGCCTGAGCGGGTGGCCCGCGCACCGCCCCAGCCAGCGGCCCCGCTTCCGGGCTGCTCCCCTCGGCGCCGCGCGCCCCCTGTCGGCTGGGCGGCGAAGGGAGGCTCTGGTCCGCCTGTGCGGTTTTCCTTAATTAACACGGGTGCAGACCTCGTTGTGCGCGCTGGGTACCCTTTCTGTATTTTGACACAGCGAAGCGAATTATTTGTGTCGTTCTGTCCGTCCTCCATTTAGTTGAAATAAATCAGCAGTGACACAAGGCACAACATTTAACCTCCTCTCATGGCACCGTGTAGTGCTGTGGCAGCCTGTACTCACTCTTTAACAGACACTCTGACCTCTGCCGCACTCCTCATAGCACCTTACCACTGACTTCTGCCACCCAAAGGGAGAATAATTTTCCAAATTAATAGACTGTGTGACAAGTCAGATGTGCCTCTGACTGATAAAGCTGATTTAGAGGTGTGCGAGATCATCGGTGAAGCATGGTGGGACGTGTTTGAAGCAGATGTATGTCGGGCTTTCATTGCCTAATTTGTAAGAACATGCAGCCTACGTGGCTGAGTGCTCTGTCTGCCTGTGGTCTTCATGACTGACTCTGAAAGATTTACTCCATTTTCACTAAATTGCACTGAGAAGTAGTGTTTTCAAAGACACTAATTGCTTCAAGCTGTGGAAAAATTATTAACTAGGTGGACAGAAGTGTCCCCCAGCAGGAAAACTCCCGCTTTTCACTGCAGTCAGTGGTCAGTCCAGGCAGACACCTGTTTACACACACACAGCTGTCTTGGGGTAATCATGTGTAGGCTTAGGATGTCCTTGGGGTGCAGGGACAGGTCCTGTGCCATTCTCCTGAACTGGAGACTGAGCTAAAATGTGCCTGAAGAAAGTCTGAGTGTCTTAGAAAGGCATAGACATGCACATTACTTGCCAAAGTCCTCCTGCAGTTTCTGAAAGACTTTTTCATTGCAACTGGGCGAAAGGGGTGGGTAAACACCAGCAAAACCTAGGAAAGTATAAATAATATGGGAGATATTTAAGTGCAGCACAGTCTCTCATGGTGTAGAGCTAACTTGCTAAAATGGCATATAAACGGTGCTGTGGTTATAGTTTATATTTTAAAGTCATACTGGTGACTTTCGCTGCTAGATGTGGCTCTGAGTGATGATCCAGCTGTAGCTGTTCCTGTCCATTGCAGAGAAGTTGGACTGGATGGCTTGTAAAGGTCCCTTCCAACTCAGATGTATTATGTATTATTACAATAATTGCTACTTAGGTTATAACCTGGTGTCCAAATAAAATTAGTTCATTTTGCTTTCTTTTAATTGATTTCATCACATAAAGTTGCTACATTTAAAATTTTGTGTTAACAAATTTGTATTCATTAAAGCTCCAGCAAAAGTCCTTCTATAGTGGGTTAAATTCCACCTGGCCTTACTCAACTTTTGAGGCAACTAGATAACATTTGGGGCATTTCAGGTTCATGGGACATTTCTTATTTTAACTTCAACGGCATTGCTTCTGTTTGGCAGTACTCACTATTTAATGGGTTGTAGGAAAAATTCTGTCAGAAAAGAACTGCATTAATTAATTGTCTCATACTCTAGATGCTCGATATTTGAGAAACGTTGTTTTTACATATGCATTATCCAGGATAATTTTATACAGAATATTCCAGAAATATTCTTTGCAGTCTCATCTAGATTTCACTTTTCTAACTGGAAAGTTAACTGTAAAATTATGACTACTAAGTATAGAAATAGTAATGGCTCTTTCCAGACCTCCCATGATGTAAAGGTTAATAACATGCTGAAGACACAGTACAAATTTGCAACACATCTGCTGTCCTTTGAGAATAGAGCAGCAATGATACTACGAACATCTCATCCTCAGTTCGTTGGACTTAAAACGTTGCTTATTTACCATATCAGTAACTTGAAGTTGTAATGATTGAATCACCAATCTATTGAAGTCTTAAAGCTACAGTAATACATGAAGTTAAATGTCATATGCACACATCCTGGCCCCAGTGCACATGTATATAAATGAAACAATAAATTCTACATATCTGACTCATCTGACTTATTTTTTAGTGAAGCTCTGACTTTTTTTTTTTTTTTTTTTTCAATCTTCTTGGCCAAAGGAGAACAAAATTTCTTCACAAAGATGATTATATTATTGTTCAGAAGGTATGTGAAAATGGCCATTAGGGGATGATGTTCCTAAAACAAAATTGCCCCAGATGAATGAAATGTTTTCTATGCGTTAGTTTTCTTGTATTTTCATCCTGATACATTAATTTTATCTTCACTTGAATCATTCTCAGACAAGCCAACATAAGGACAGAACTACTCTCTCTACAACTTAACGTGACGAGTAAAAGAAAAAGTCATATTAGAAAAAGGAAATGCATAGATGTTGTTTTGCATAAAGCCCACACCATGCTGAAAGCTAAACCAGGAAGGAAGTTGCCACCACTGTGCTAGATGGGAGTGCTTCAGTGGCATGTGCTTGATTTTAAGAAAATCAGAACTCTTCAGGTTAGCACTAGGAGTACTCACCATGTTTATTTTATGTTTACCTGAGTTTTTCAAAGTCCATGAAGGTGAGTGATCAGCTTTTAAAGGACCCCTTGCTTGTTCTGAAGTCTAATTGCAATTGAAAAGTTGTCATGTGCTTTCCTGAAAGTGATAGTTACGATGCTATACTTGTATGAACTGTGTAAGTCGTATATATAGATTGTTTTCTTTAGATTTTTAACAAACAGAATTCATTATATGTAGTAATTTGAAAAGAGTTTGCTGTTCGTTTATGTACATTGCAAAATTTCTGGTCACTATATGCATATAACTGTACTTTTCACTTGCTTCCTCATTAAGTTAGTAGTTGAAAGGTGTATGTTAAGAAGCAGCTACCCATGTCTTTAAAAAATAAGTTTTCTTAAAAATCTCTCAACACAAATGCCTATAAATCTTCATATGGTTAACCTATGAAGGAGATACGCAGAGGATGCAGAGGTACCACGATAAAAAAGTAGAGCAGAATTGGTATTATAGCTCAGTGAAGCAAATCTGTTAACAGAAATCCCAAATACTGGTGATCCCGAAGGTCAATAATGTATTTCAGATGAATACAAAATATGTGAGTGTAACTAATGCATTCAGCACTTTCTTAAAAATTCATAAATAAATTAATATTAAAATAGCTTTGTCACAGCTGTTCCTAAGTAAGGTTTTGTATAAGACAAATCTTATAATAAAAAGAATCCCCTTGACAGCTGGTGTGTTCCTAGACATCACTACATTATTTATGAAGCAATTTCTTTATGAAGTAATTTTCTGGAAACAAATTAATACCAAATATACCAAGATTTGTTTGCTTACATTTACATTTTTACATTGATTCACCAAAACCAGCCACTGTGACGGTGGCTGCAATATAATATATAGTTTTTCATAGGTAATAAACCAACGAACTTTTTAAGCTATCGTAAGTTTCAAACATTATGAAAACAATCATTCAGTTTAAGATGTTGGAATAATGAATGTTTTACCTCCACACAGAAGTGATCAAAGGACTTAGTAGCACAGACAATGCAAATAAACAATGCCATGAATATCAGCAGAAGAAAACATTGACATTACTGTCAAACATCCAAGAGTAATTGCATTTTTCCACTGTAATTGTCCTAGATTATTCTTCTTGGAGTTGCTTCACACTGCAATAACACGATTGTTGCAATGCTGAAATTTATGTATGGTCTTAATCACATTATGTATAAATTGAATATGAGCAGCGCGCTGCACAGAATTGTATTTGGAAGATTAGAATCATAGTCATATTTTGGATGTTGTAAAAACTATAGAATAATATGAAAGACTGTGCAACGTCTGAATTATATGAGAAAGTAAATACACTGAACAATTTCATATGAAAATTTCAAGGAATTTGGTTTCTGGTTCACTGAAAACCTTCTGGGAACTGCTTTTAATCCAAAGTGTGTAGCAGGCTTAAAATGTACAGAATTACTTTCCTATAGGTGTTTCAAATTGCTGGCTAGGAGGCTGTGGACATTACTTCCCCACAAAAATTTGTTACTGGAAATCTTCACTGCCATGTAAAAGGCAGCCACTGTGCCTTCTATGATCGGCTCCTAAATGAGTGGTTGAGACCTTGTTTCACAGGCTTGTCTAAGATCACATTAACACTGCAGGTACTTCAGGTTTTTAATATAATGTAAGTGAAAATTTGAATTTTTTTACCCTAGGGAAAGTTGTGGCATTTATTTTGACTCCAGAGTGGGAATAAAATTGAAGATTATGCCTTAAAGAGACTTTGTGGGAAAAATCTAACCCAAGCCATTAAAAGCTTATCGAAAGAAAACAGTTCAGCATCACCAAAACTGAAACTTGTTTCCTTCAAATTCATAAAGCAACAGATCTATTTGGCTGAAAGTCTGTGAAGCTTTACATTACCTCAGTTTAGAACAAAATGTTGCTGTTTTTTTGGAGCCCGATGCTCTCAATTCTGGTCCCGTCCTCTGGGTCTGGTTATTTGATGGACTGTGTCCACTATAAATCTATCATTGTGTACTCCCCATGTTGTACTGTAGGCCTCTGCCATCTCTGACATGTTGTGTGTTTGCTACCATTTCTGCAAAGAAGTGATAAAAATGCGATTTTGTATACTGCTGAATTGATTTGAAACTGAGTATCATAGATCAAAAGAAAAAAAAAATAGTTAAGCTAATCCAAAATGAAATATTTATTATTTTCTTAAGGCGAATAAGTTTTTTTTACAAATTCAGATTTTCCCTATGAATAATTTCATTTTAATAGAATTGGATTTTCAGTAGAAAACAGAACAGAAAACTAAATAGAGGCTTAGTAAAGGATTTAATAACCAGAGAAATTCTTAATATTAAGTATGCGGGTTACAGATTTTTCTCAGAGGATGGTAAGTACCCTCCCTAACAGTACAGCATTCAAACTTTTCCAATCATTTAGCATACTCTTTACGCTCTGTAAATTGGCTAGCATTAGGCAGCTCTTGAGCCTGTTTGGTCATGCGGAGCATAAGATGCAAAATGGAATACATGGTGCTGTGCACAGACCCCCTGACCACAGTCAGCAGACTCCCACGTCTATGTACAAACTCAGTGAAAGGGGCCTGGTGGGGAACTGCCATTTGCTGACCTTGAAAGCTGTGGCAGTAGTCTTTGATCAGTTCCCCACCTGCATGCATGCCTTGCCAGGAAGGTAAACATTTTCCATCCGATGTTGGCTCATCTGACTGGAAGATGACTGCCCAGACCACCTCTTCCAGCTGGAAGAACTGAGAGCCTGCTCCACTCCAGGATGGTCAGATCAAAAGCATTTTGAGGAAAATATTTTGACTTCCCTAATGGAAACTTAAAATCTTAGATTTTTTCTTACCCACATATATAATATCTTGCATTTCAATGTGTTATGTTTTATGAGTTTATCACATTCTTATGTAATGATAGTAAAGTGAAGGTAACTGACTTTGGCACTGGATTTTGGATTTTATTTCTGTTCCTGCCTGAAATCCTTCACCGATCTGTTTCTGAGGCCAGTCAGCTCTGATATGAGCACAGATGGCTGTTGAAACTGTCAGATTGCAGATGAGTACTGGAGCAATCAAAGGCTGTTTTCCTGTCTATATGTAAGGATTTATGAACATATCACTCATAATGAGTGTTAGATGCAGAATTTCCACATCACAGACATGCAAAGATACTACCAGAATTGGAAGGTTAGCTAATATACTATGGGTTAGCACTACATCAACTCATGGGAGGGATTATTTGTGTTCATAAATACATATTTCATGTTGGAGTCCCAGAAGATTTTTAATCTTCAATTTCTTTCATACTGAAAAAATAGTTCAAGGTTAACTCAAGTAGAAATACACAGTTCATATAGGAAAGCCTTGCTTTAATGTAAAAGACGTTTAAAATAACATGCATTAATAATTAAAACTATGTGGGTTTTTTTTTGTTATTTGTTGCATTAATGTGCTTCAGCTGCAGTAATTTGGTATTGAAATTCAACTAGCAAAAACACTGTGCATTAAGTTTAATGATTGAATAGAAAAAAAGCAGGAAGGGTGGCTGGAGGATTCAGCAGTATTTCTGTGGGTTTAAGTGTCACTGGAGAGAAAGTTTTCATTCTCCTAACTATTTTACAGTGTGATCACTCTGGTGGGTTGCAACTGCATGGTTGCAGGGCTATGTTTCCTGTTTCAAACACAAGTGGGTTTCATTTTCTCTTCAAGCACGCTGAAATTTGAACAACTTTGAAACAGGAATGACACTAGAGATCACCACAAATGCAATTCAGTCAGTACTGAAAGATACTCCATGCAACTCAGTAATAAAATCCAAAATGTATGTTGGGAAAATATTCTCTGCTTTCTTCTCCTTGCTTGATGGTGCATGCAGTATTCTGCCATAACCCTCAAGAAGTGCATTTCATTGTATGATGGTTAAAGGGTATTTTACATGAAACTTAAATGCACTTACTTACCCATGTACTCTAAGAGATGGTTTTGCTAATACAGTACTCTTTGTTTTTCAGCTAACACTGTAGTCGTATCGTGCATGGATACCTGTTCATTAAATAGCACCACCTTTCCACTTTGTACTTTTAATAATTCTTGCAAAAGATCGCTGCAACAAAAAAGAAAAAATCAGATTGTGTTACTGAAGACCATTGTAAATCATTCAAATTTCCAAAATATTCCATGTATTTGCCTGTCCTCTAGTAGGGAACAAAAGTCAAATACTCAGTACTCAGAGTCTGAATCCAGCAGAGATGTGAATGTTGATCATCAAGAATCAAGATCAATAGATAAAAAAAGTAAGTAGGAAAAGCAAAGTACTTTATTTGGAAGTAGTTAATTATAGCATAAGATGCATGGCTTGATTTGGTAGTTAAAGATGATAATATGGCGCTGGTTCTCCATTGTCTTTGCAAACTCTACAGATACTGCTGTTGTTTGGTTGGTTGTTTTTTTTTTTTGGTTGGTTGGTTGGTTTGATATTTTTTTTCCTTAATAGCATTCTTTGCATTGCTGCAAAACATAGGTTTTTTGTCGTATTTGTAGCAGCAGTAATTCTTGGCTGTGAGTGCTGATTTCTTTTCTTTGAGGATCTTGTGTACGGGGGAGCATTCATTATCTTAAGGTCTGCAAGGAGTGCTGAGAGATTGCCTTGTCCAACTATTCCAACTATTGCTGTTGCAAATTTGACCCCTACCAGCTGGGTTTTATGAATGCATTTTGATCTCTTTTTTTTTTCTTGCTGGATTTTATAAAATATTTATTTGTAGAGTTCTATAGTTTCTGATGAGTTTTCTTGGTAGGTTTAATTTTAAGAGTCACTGTGGATCTCTGCTTGCTGATGGCTAATATTATATGATGAAAATTTGCAATCAAGTATCTGAAGAAATAAATTGAAGATGGTAACTACTTAGATGGCAGCTATGCAGAAATTAAAAGAACTAAATGACCATTTTTGTGCATATAATCTATAATATCCATAAAGAGTTAGTGGCATTTCTTGTTTAATAGAAGGCAGCACTGAATAAGGACAGGCCCAGCAGTATGAAACACTTAGCAACATCCACCGTTTTTCAGAGTAGTAGCAGTATGTTCCTTCTGTGCCTTATGCACTTGCAGTGTATCTGAAAACATTTGGAGGAGGAGAAGCTTCTGAATTCTGCTCTCCTAACATTGCCAGCAACAGGGGCAAGAGGCCAAGACCTGAATGTGAGAAATGCAGTTTTCTTTAAACTGCATCGTTTCCTTACTGAAAAATAGAGCTGTCCTTCCAAGCGTGGACAATACCAAAACAAACAAATGTGTGGACAAACTCTGTTCTCATTGATACACATACAACTCTAACACTTCTGACAATGTCTCATTTACCTGTATTTGTTGTTAATGTTCCACAAGCCTCACAGCTTGTGGTTTGAAATGAAACAAAGGCTTTCTGCAACTAATAGCACAGGAGCTGGATGTGCACTGCAGATTTCTATCATTGTACAGCTTTTATTGTTTCTTTTCTTTCATAGCTCAGTTTTTTGCTTTGTTAGCTTTGACAACATGTAACAGAGCAATAACAACAACAAAAGATTTGAAGCTAGTTATAAAATTAAAAAAAAAAGGCAATAATTTGCTGAGGAAATGTATTTTTTAAGGATAATCAGTACTCCTCATAACTGTTCAGGATCCTTACATCCTTTTGTCCATTTTATTATAGTCAGTAATGTAAAAATGCACTATTTATTTTCTTAAATAAGACAGAGAATATATTTTATTGCTCTGAGAGTTGGCTCTCACTGTATACTGTTATTTAACAGGTTTTTTTTTTTTTTTTTTTTTTATAACCTTGTATTTCCTATAGCAAAAGACTCATCTGAAGTGAACACAGAAGATGCTATTTCTTTTTATAAATATTTTAATTTCACCATGCTTCATGCGAATGAAGAAGTAGAGCATAGTACCCACTACATTCTGGAAATCCACATCAACAGCTCCATAGTCAGAGGAAGAAGTGCAGCTGAAGAATACCTAAATCACTCTTGTCTAATGGCTATGATCAATGACCAAAACGGCTGTATGAATATTTCACTTCAACTGAAGTCTTATGTGGAATGTAAGTTACAAAGGAGATTTGGAAACAATTTGCATCTTGCAAAAAATTTGCAGTAGGTAGTTATCTGCTTTCAGCAACTATTTGAAACTATTTCACAACAAAACAATGCATTTTTGATCATCCCTTAGTAAAAGACCATTGTAAGTAGTCAACTGACATGTTTTGCTATGTTTTGTTGTTTTTTGTTTTTTTTTTTTCCCTAGAAACAAGACAGAAAAATAAGCATCTGTAAATGTTATTTTTTTTTTCTCCACTTAATGATGACAGACTTACAAAATGCATGTTTGAAAAAAGCTGGAATTACTTTTTTTCTTTTTCCCTCCCCCTTTATGGCATAATTCTGATGTCTAGAAGGTAAATTAAACAATTCAGTTAACTTTGAAGGCAGAACAACCACTAGACAAGTTTGACTTTTCCTAATGTTGTGCAGCAACATCCTACTTTCAGCATTACTTAAAAGAGAAATATTCCGCTGAGCTAGGCTTACTTTTCCCAGAGGACAGCCTGACAGCTATTTAAGTTTCTCTTTGTGCTGCAGGAGGTTGCCTGACCACAGTCAGGCCTTCCAGCCCATGTATGCTACACTTTCCATTGGGGAATTGCTGAATTATTACATTCATTTAGTTTTGTAAGGCAAATGCATTTTATGCTATGCCTTTGCTGGAAAAGTTAAGCGTTTTTGAGTTGGATAAACCAGTGTAAAATATTTCCAGCTTAAATCCTAGTAAAGAGAGGGCTTTTTTTTTTTTTAATAGGACTGCATATGAGCATAGTTTTCAACTTGCCCACTAATTTTAAAGCTGTGATCTCACCACCATTTCCTAATAGCAATTTCAAGTTATTGATAAAAATTAACAACTATTTTGCTTACTTCAAAACAAAGCTGGAGAGGTTCACAGAGCTTTGACTGGGCACTACTGGCATGCAAGCCAATACAAGTTACTCCAAGATGGAGTACAGTATTGTGCCTGAAAGGAGAAGGCCTAAATGACTTCTATAAAAAGTACTTTTTAGTTATGAATTAGGAGGGATGAACTGTGCTTACTTGAAAGCCTTATTGGTAGTTACCGCTTGACTTCTCAGAGAAGAAGGCATTCAAAGTTAATATAGGTCTAATTATGGTATTCTACATCAAGAGAGGGAAAACAGCATTTTGGCTGTGGCCAGTAATTTGACTTTATGAGTCAGAGTCAAATTGTTGTTTGTTTGGTGTTTTTAATATTTTATTAGACAATGTCAGGGTTTGCATTAGCATGCAGCTGCCAAAGAGGTTTCAAAGGTCTTCTGGGGAGGCAAGTTCTCCATGCCCTTCCTCTGTGGTACACAGTTCAGGCTTGCACTAGGTACTGAACTGATTCCACAGGAATGTGGGTTAATTTCTCAGTAGCCATAGTCTGAAAGAGCAGCTTTCCTCCTTTTCACACCAAGACTCACCAATTCTTCCCCAAACTAGCTTTTAATAGCTTGTTGAATGTATTCCCCATGGGCTTCCTATGGGAGGTATTTTCTTACTTTTTAATAAGAAAATTTCTATGTATAATATTTTTCCTTCTTTGATATGTGAAGATGGACCTGGAAATTGGGAGTGTCAGTACAGGTGAACATTGAACAGTGAATCATTTTCTTCTGTATCCCATTAAAAAGCAAACAAAGAGAGGATATGTATTTTCCTTGTTTTACATTAAATATAAACATTGATCTTTGAAGCATTTTCTTACTGGCTGAGCTGCATGTAAAATTGTGATTTCCAGCTTAATTTGATCTCTTGTACATTTAATGGACAGATCCAATGTGTATGACGAAGATCATTTGGCTCAGTATGATTCCAGTTGTTATTGTCTTGACTGTTTCAGTTGTCATCTACAAAATAGTCCAAGAAAATGGCCAAAACTGTAAGTAACAAGTTCATCTGCACTAAACATCTACATTATGAAAAATTGACAATAACAAAGCTATTGATTATTATGTATTTCAGACAACAGTATTTTAATCAAAGTGTTGTAGAAACTTCTGGAATACTCAGATGACTGATCCCTTTCATCTTTGAATTGTGGATGCAAATCCAAGATTTTTGCTACTAAATGAAGTCTGTTTGTTTTAGCTGTTTTTTTGTTGTGGTTTTTTTTTTTTCTGATACATAATTGGTAGCCTATGGTCTTTTGTCTAAAGAACTTCTAGTTTCAGACTTATTTCAGTAGATGAAATGAATACATCTGATCTTTGATTTAAGTCTTAAGAGATGCCAATGACCATTTTAAACAGATTTAAATTCCCCTTTGTACTCAAAGCAATTCAGAAACTAACTTTGCTATGGAATAACTTATTTTGAAACAGAAACAATTATTTCTACACATTGCCTTCATTGAACAAAACAGGGTCTTCCTATGCAATTCACTTCAGACAGAGTCTGAAATTAGGATTCACAGTATTTCTTCTAGCAACATGCCATGAATAAGCAAGAATAAAAGTGTAGGAGTACTCTAAGCATGAGACTTCTGGACAACCAAGATAAAGTACTCTGCACAAAATCTATGCAGAAAATTGACCTCATCAGCTGCTGGTCTTTATTTTTTATTAGAAGTCAGAGCTATATGGTACAGGGAGCACACACTTTCATCACTGTGAAAAGTTACTTAACCTCTTACCTAATAGAATAGCTTTCAGATGCTTTTCAGAGCAGTTTTTTTCTGAGACTTTCTACTAGTGTCAGGCCTGAGTGGGTAGGAAGCTTCTTGAGAACCAGAACTTAGTTCCTATTAACAGACAGATGCCCATTCTCCTTGTAGTTGGGAGCTACAGAATGGGGAGACCTTGGTCACAGTGGTAATAAAAAAAATAATGGGAATGCATGTAGCTTATCATCATCTCAGCTATACTCACAGGCAGCTTTGTAATGAAAAAGCAATAGGAGTTTAGCTTTAATTTTAATCTTTAGCTGAACAGAAGGCAGAAGAGTGCCTACACACAAGATGTTTCCATGATCAGAATGTTTGTGATTTTTTTTGTATCTACATAATGTAAATATTTTATGCATATATTTTTAATTAATAAGTGAAACAGTTGCTTAAAATGACAGCCCCTCAAAATGACAAAACAATCACCTCATCATATGAACTTGGTTAAAATACATGACCTTTTATTTATTGCAGGAACCAAAATCTGAATGCTAATTAACATATGTACAAATTCTATGAACTGTAAAATAGATCTTTATAAGTGGGCTATTAAATGCTCTGGTTTGAAGGACTTTTGTGGTAGCTTTCAAAATGCAAATAAATGTCATGAGTGTGATTGTCTACGCTCTGAGTCATAACATCTCATTTTAATACAGAGCTGCTAGTAGTGATAATTAACGATTTACTACCTTTACTCTTAAACATTGGTTTTCTATTAAATGCAAGTTTTTCAGAATTGTTTTAGGCACAAGCAGCAAAGAAGAGATGCCCTTTGTGAGCTCCTGGTTTCTGATTGGTTTCTAGAGAGCATTTCCTGTTTGTAGAGGAATAGTGTTGTTATTAGTTAAATTTACAATTTATAACATCATGTACAACATCAGTATCTTACCGGCAAAAAGACAAGAACATACAAATTATATTTGAAAGTTTTATTCCTTATATGTATACATTACGCCATCTTTAATCAAAAGTCTACATACTGCTTTTTTCAGTGGTGCCTGAAGAATCTGTCAGAGTATTACTATGTGCCTAAAACAGCTGCTATGAATTTTTACCATCATAGTTCAGTCAGTACTTTTTCTCTTAATTTCTGAGTACTACTGAAATCTGGTAAGAAATGTGGAATTATTCATTTCCTCTTGAGACGTTCCAAGATATTCTGTTTGGCAGACTCTGAGACTCTTCGAAACATTAATGAAGTTATTTCCAAAAGTGCATAAAATAAAATAGCCAAACACGTTTGAAGGAGCTTGCAACTGATCCATGACAAAAGAGCTAAATTAGAAATTAGTTCTTCACTATTACTCTTCCAGACTTGCCTTAAAACCAATTCCAGACCTTCCTTTAACATTAACCATTAGAATGCAGACTTAGGACTTCAGCATATTATATCTCACTTGTGTGTTCACAAAATACCATGACCTAAATAGTGCTAATTTTATGAACTTCTTAAAGATGATTTTTCTTTTTTAGCATTCCCGAAATAAAAATACTGGGGCACGTCTGTTGTTGGATGCTGAGAACCTGGGCTTTTGTCTTTACAGATCAGTGCTATTAAGATCATCTCTATCTTTCTCTCAGTGATACAGAGCTCATTCCTACACTGTGCTCCCAAAGGTGAACACCACAAACTAACAAATAAGCTGTAGGCTTCCTAGGATTCTAATACACTCAACTCTAGCTATTCCACTGTTAGCGGTGAGATTCTTAACCTCCATAGGAACGTGCAGAGTGACCTTTTTGATAACCTTCCAAAACGTTCTCAAGATACATGCTCCAGAGGAGGGAAAGAATAATTTGAAAAGGGCAAGCATGAAGACATAGAATTTAATTTGGAAAAATAAAAAAACATCAGGTTAAGTTTTTTCTCAAGACCTTATCACAAAACTTTCCCGTTCTTTTTCATGGGAGATGTTAAACAGTTTAAATATGAGAGGTTTACCCACTTCCCCTCTAATGACTGATGTATATAATTTTATAGCTAAGGATATCTTATTTTGTTTAAAACAGATTGTAAGCACAGAGGAACAGCAACATTTTCTACTGATCAAGGGAAAAGTGGTTCCAGACTTGATATAAGAACCATTTCTGCTACTAAAGTTCATCTATTTCCTGGTAGGTAATATAAAATGAAATAAAAAGCTAACACATCTTGAAGCATGGAGAGTTCAAGAAATGCTTTTGAGTCTTTCCTGCCAAGGGATGCCTCTGTTTTGTTTCAGAGTTACCCTGATCCTACAAAAAATTGATCTGGCTTATGTTATGGAAACATATTTATATCAGAAATAAATAATTCTCACAGTGAGTCTCTACAATGACATATTATATGTCGGAATGCTTCTGTCAGTCTTCCAAATGTTTTGCATTAAGAACTGTTCTCCTTTGTTGTTGCTGTTGTTTTTAATACTTCAATTTAGTTTTCAGTCATGTTGTGTGCCATATTTAAAGTCTTGCAGCCAAGTACTTTGTTAGTGTATGGAAATTGTACACAAATGTAGGCAATCATATGTATGCTGTATGTATTTATGACTCAACAAAATCAACTACTAAAGGATGGGATGGACAAAGACAGCAGTGAAGGCCCAGAGAATGTCTCTGCTGGCACTTAGCAGCTCAGTGCTAGAGAAAAATCCTAACAAAGTAAAATTTAATAGTTTCAGATCAGTATTAAAACATGGTCTTCTGAGAGCATAGTGTGTTTAGCACAGATAAATTAAGGGGCATGGCTAACCTCAAGGTTTTAGTTGCAGAAATTAGAATTTATTATTAAATCTGTGTGAGGGTAAATTAGCAAATATGGCTCTGAGTGTTACTGATATTGCAGGAAAAGTCATATGCTGCAATAACTTCAATCGATTCTGGTTCCACAAAGGGAGCTCTGTCTTTTCAAAGATAAACATAAAGAATAATAGCTTTGAACGAATTCAAGACAAGAACAGCTACAGAGCCAGCAAATGAAATAAATGGTTTTAAATTTGTCTAGGCTTGGATGCCTCGCTGTTTGTCTTGTCAATTCTTGAAGAATTAGAGAAGCAGCAATTTCCCTCTACAACTCAGTAACTCATGGCATTTCAATTTTACCTAGAAAAGAGTGAATAGCTCCCTGTCTGTCTGAACTCTCCTGGGAGTACAATTTATACTCCTTAGTTTTAGAGCACAAGCTACCTCTAAGATATATTTATGAGCTCATTATTTTCATCCTCCAGGAAAGGGATTATCTCCCTGACATCTTTTGTCTTTAGTAGCTTCACCATACCTGTTTTATTAGCACAATGTCATCTTTAGTGCTGAATATCCAAAGGCATTTTTGATTATGAAATTTTATGGAAAATTTCAAATGTAGTTTTATTGTACTGAAGAGAACAGGAATCCCATATTGGTTTGTTGTTCTTACTTCCACATTCCTCCTGCATCAATCTATACATTTAACTCAGAATGATGCTTAGTTGTATAGACTGCAACAATTGGCTTTACTCTAATCAGATATTCATTGATTTCACACACTATGATTCTGCTGAATCCAGACAATTTTCCAATTTATACAACTTAAAGTAGAATCAGAACCATATGGAAAGTGTTTACTTCATTTTACCTCCAGGATTTGCAACTGTGATAGTCAGTTATAAATTGTGATAGGTTTCTTATTTGACAGCCCTCGATAGTACTTAATTTATCATTAGTATGTAGCTTCAAGTCTAGAAGCATAACACTGAGATGCACTGAAGACAATACAAACATCCTGGAAACACCATAATGAAAATAACTCTGTATTACAAGGGGGTGGGAAGGTATCTCATGGATGAAAAGATGTTAGATACTTCTCAAAGCATTCAGAGTTCAGAAAAGGATAAGGAAAGACAAAGAAGGAAACTCATACTTTGAGAATGATTTCTTAAGGAGGCAAAGTAAATTAGTGGCTTAGTATTAATGTGTTACTACAAATAAATAATTCACAGCTCATATCTAAAACTGTTATTGCCACTGTGCACATGAATCATTACCATCCAGCCCAGTGGCAAGGAGGGAAGATCTACGGTATATTCTCTATGGTGGCACTGAAATGATAACTTTCTGACTTAAGAAAATCATAGTATTTTAAAGGAACTGGCACATACAGTGATGTTAGGGAAGCTTTAGTGTGTTCTTCTGGTCATGAATGTAGATTGTACCATGACTGTTCAGTTAAGCTAAAAAAAGTACGGATTGGTACATGTTATCTAGACTTTGGATCTGTCATTATGTTTTCATAAAACATTTCCTTGCATGGTTTAAACTGATAATGCAGTTTTCCTTTATTCAGCTGCAACAGCAAAGGATGCTTTTTGTTCAGTGCAAGAAGTTCTTTAAATGGCTGACCTATATTTCCAGACATGGAACATTTTCATACTGGATAGGATTTGACAGTAGTAGTTCAAAGTATAGATAAAAAAAATCAATTTCTTGCTTTGTGTTCATGACAGAGAATCTTAGGGAGATTCCCACATCAGAGGCTTTTATTTCAAGACTTCCTTTTTTTTTTTTTTTTTTCCAAATTGGAGAGGCAGTAGAAGAGGTTTTGGAACAGCTTACTAAATTAATAACAGCAATTATGAGAACTAGGTAGTATTCCCCAAGGTGTTCTAAAAGACCTCAGTAACTGCTAAATCGTCACGTGTGGTTCAATGCTTAAATCACCTTGATTCCAACAAAATGGAAGGTAGCTGTACTTGTGCTGCTCGTATACCTTTTCCTTAACCCACTTTTGCCAAACCACTTAAATACCTTTTCCACTATTAGCAACTCATTAAATATTGCTGTTCTCATATAGCTGTATCCTAAAAGGAATTTGAGCCTGGGGGCATGGCACATAATTACCTGTGTGTGTATGAACTATATACTACACTGTTAAAAAAAAAAAAAAGAGGAAAAAAGGAAAAGAAACAGAGAAAGAAAAAAAGAAAATAGTTGCATAAGAAATACAGATTGCATAAATAAGAGGTTTAATACCTAGGAGTGAATCTGCCTAGCAGATTCGTATTGGAAGTTTCATTAATATAAGTATGTGGGTTATAAGCTACAGTGTGAGTACATAGAAGTTCACCTCTATAAATTCCAGATCTCATTTTTCCAGCATTAAAAAAAATCACATTCAATTTTGTCCTATTTTGAATGCAGCATAAGGTCTGATGGAAAAAATCCTCTTCCCACTTCTGTTCTAGAAGAGTAGTGCACAGAAAGGGAACCATATTGCTAGTATCATCATATTAGCACTCTACAGTCTTTGTGAGCTATCTTAGTTCAGACATAACGCCTGCCACATTGCTGAAATTGTCTTCTCTCATTTTCAGCAACACTCCATTGGCTCACAAAGTCATACTTTGGCTCATTACATTCTGGTATACAAATACAGGATTCCCTGACTCACTCTCCGAGTCTGCTACAGTAATGCAAAGTTAATTCCCATGTATGTTTTCTGCTGATAATATTATGAAACTCCTGGCTTTTAGCCATGCCAAGTTAATTCATGTGCATAGTTCATTCGCCAAAACAGATTTTGAACTTATCTCAGTCACAGTACTGAGTATTCCAACGACTGTACTTATTGAAGTAGTAGCATTTTTAATTGATATTTCATTAGCCTGTGAGTTACAACATGCGTTTGTATGTTCACATCTGTGCTACTTATCTGAAATCTTAGAGTTATAAGTTTTCTCTAGTGAAAATGAATGTAGCCCAGAGTCAGTAAATGCACACAGCACTTGGCTACTCCATGGTTTGCTGAGTTACTGTTAGCAAAGACCAGCATCCATGTTTTGGCCTCAATTCCCAGCGGCAATGGAAATACCTCCTGAAGGCTAGCAGCCATTCACAACACGACAGCAAGAGCAGAAGCCACCCCAGCCATACCTGGGGGTCAGGCTGGGGCACATGGCCAGCAGTTCACATGGCTTTTGTTGCTGAGGAGGTGTTTTTGTGTTTCTCCTAGGGGAACAGTGGTCAACTTGAACAAAGGCCACCAGCAAGGTGATACAGAGCTCAGTTGCTGCAGTCTTAGCATAAAATGTAACACTTAAAACTATCCAGTGAAGCAAGTACATCAACATTTATATCTACATTTCAAATGGAAAAGTAATTTTTAAAAAGCCCAAAGTATGCCAATCAAAAGTAAAAAAAAATAAAAATAAAAGATAATGCATCAGCAAGTCTGAGTGCATGGCTCTTTGTTCAGGCTAAGAGAAAAGGAAAAGCAGAAAAACAGATTAAATGCTGCAAGCAAAGAGAAATAGTTGCAGATCTCAGGTACAGAAATTTTGGAGTCTCCAGGAACATAAGAAGTGGGGTGGCTTCTTTAAAACATGCTATAGAATGCTAAAAAAGCCACTAAGCAATTGAATGATAGTTTTATAACTCATCCTTGAAGAAGAATGATGCAGGATCACAGTGACAACCAGGATTTGGAGAATAAAAAAACCTCAGAGTTTCAGGGCTGCTGTTGTCTTCTGGACTGTTTACATTTTGTGACACCCATACCATCTGATATAAGCATGCTTTGCAACTATAATTTGCATGAAAGAAACAATTAGGTAAATTTCCCAGCAGTCACTTGAATTCCTACATTGCTTTCCATGCTATCATATTAAAATAATGGTTCCCAGCCTACAAGATTAAAGGAAATGTGCCATATTCTGCCATCTCTCCAAGGCACTGCTGCAACATCAGGCTAGTTGACAGGTTGGAAGTAGAAGCAATGCCTGGTTCAGTAGTGCCAGGGCTGCAATCCCACTGAATTCAGATTCAGTCCTTGTATTCTGCAATACATTTTCTTTTTAGCATGAGGACAGGCAGGATACAACTTCTACTGTATTAAGTACATGCAAAGCCAAGACAGGAAAGATTTGTTTAATCTTGGCCAATTGAGGCATCACATATTTGATTCTGATCCTTCCCAGTTAGTTCCTGACATAGCTGTTGTCCTTGCCATTGTAACTTAGATGAATAAGGCTGGAAGAAGCAAAGCTTATCATGAGGTTTAATACTAAACACAGACTTGCTAATTTCAAAGATGCAACATGTCCAGAGGAAAAAAAAAATGTGAAAGTTAATTACCATTTGGGGTCTTTTGCTGTTTCAGAAAGGAGAATAAAATCAAGAAGGGACAGGTAATCTTAACGAGCTTTTATAGCTCCTGTATGCTTTCAGTAGGGTGCTTCCAAATGATTGGTCTTTTATTTCTCTGTTCTATTTGCATGCACGCAGAACAGTGCTGCACTTAGGCTCTGAAAGAAATATAAGCCCACATTCTCTTCCAGGGTTCAGTCTGAGGGTAAAATAAGATCAGTTTTTAAAATTTGCCCTAGGTTTATTTATTTTAGCTTTATTTTTTCATATACAGTTTCTTAATTACCAAGATCCAAACTTCACTTTTTAATTGGTCAGTAGATACAGTAAGTGAAGAAGAGATGAAGCTAAACTTATATTACAGTACATTCTCTTGTTATAAACACAACAGAAACCCACTTGTAAGTTTACTGAAGTCATGAATTGTCAGAGACAGGGTGAACCTGAAGTTAAAATATTTTGGGTTCTACTTCTTCTGTAGCTCTTTGAAAAATGCATTATTGCATCAATAACTCTGACTTCATTAGCCTGGCAACACTATTTCACTCTTTCTTTACCTGTACTCCAGTAAGGTACTGTATCAGCATCCTTGTTGGCAGTGTGCTAAAGGCATCACTGCATCACTCCCTGTTTCTGAGGTGCATGATGCCATCTCTTTTAACCACCATATGACACCTAGATACTCTCCTTGTGCATATGACAAGTTATCTGAAACCATATCAAATGTTCCTGAGTGACAATCTGGGCTGTCCTCATATTAAAATGAATTGGAAAGTTTACACTCTAAATTTGTTTCTTCTCAACCAGCCAATGACAGGCTTTTGTATTTGAGGAGCATTACAGTTGGTATTACAGCTAGAAAGATTATCGTGGTGAAAATGGGAAAAGAAGCAAACAGAGAAGGGACACTCACCTGTATCCAAAGAACTAGGTTACCAGGAAAGACTCCACAGAGAGGAGATCTCCAGAAAGAAATCCATTCCTAGTGGCAGTCAGCCCTTGAATGGGGTGTAGGAGAGATGAAGCCGGGCACCACCTGTGACTTCTGCTCACACAGCTGAATCACCTTCACCTGTGCTTCCAGGGCTGACCCAGTCCTTTCCTCAGGTGGTCAATCAGTGGTTCAGGCCGTGACTCTCAACAGTTCCCATACAGGGAGACTTTTAGTTAAACCCAAATTTGCATGTATTTTCACTACTAGTAAACTTTTCACGAGCAATTTAGTTGCCTATCTCCCAGCTGCTTTCCATAAAGACTTCAGATCAGCCTGCTGTAGTCTAAATAGCATGCAGAAGTGAAATACCAGAACATATTTAATACTTGCAGGACTTCCAGACATACATTTGCATCTCTGGATACTGAAATCCTATTGAAAAATTGGTTATGCACCTCTGTCTTGTAATCAGATAGTTTTCAATGAATTTCAGACTTGTGTATTCAAACACTCTGCTGATGTATTTGCTGTTTAACAATGTGAGTTACAAATATTTTAACTTTTAACAGTGAAGGCCAACGAGCAACCGATTCCACTTACTGCACATAAGATACTGCCCATAATTCCTGAACAAGAACACTGTCATCTGAGTACATCAAGTATTGAAGGTACGTAAATATCTTACAATACTCAAATTTTTCTGTTTGCCTTGTATTTTTAGAATTAGTATTAAGCAAACACAGACTCACAGAATCACAGAATCATAGAGGCTGGAAGGGACCTCTGGAAATCATGTAGTTCAACCCCCTGCTAAAGCAGGCTCCCTGCAGTAGGTTGCACAGGAAAACATTCAGGTGGACTTTGAATGTCTCTAGAGAACAAGACTCCACAACCTCTCTGGACAGCCTCACCCAGTGCTCTGTCATCCTCACAGTAAATAAGTTATTTCTGATGTTTGTATGGAACTTTCTGTGTTACAGATTGTGCCCGTTACCCCTTGTTCTGTCACCGGGCACCACTGAAATGATCCTGGCCTCATTAACTTTGAATCCTGCCCTTCAGATATTTATAAGCATTGATAAGAACCCCTCTCAGTCTCCTTTTCTCCAGGCTGAACAGTCCCAGGTCTCTCAGACTTTCCTCGTAAGGGAGATGCTCCAAGGCTCCTCATTATTTTTGTGGACCTCCTCTGGACTCTCTCCAGATCCCTATCCTTAAATCCTTAAACAGTACTCCATATGTGGCGCTATCTGCTCAAAAAAACTTCTTACTTCATCTAGCCAAATATACGAGATGACTAACAGGAAAATGTGTTTTGCGGGAGCTAGATGGCAAGAAAACAAAATCAAGTTTCCTTCTGGTACCAAGAGTTATCTATAAACTAATCTGTTAGCCTTTTAAGTGCTGTGTGCCTCTGAGAGCAGCAGTGCTAATTCTGACACTATTTTTCTGGTATAGAACACTGAATCCTAGACATCAGCAATTTGCTGGTATTTGTTTCTGACAAGAGCGGAGGAGAGGAGCAGTTTTCAAATAACTTCTGGAAATAAGCATGTGTTTGAAATGATAAAATTCACAAAACAAAATAAATTACTTGTTCTGTCATTACAGCAGTTGGAATAAGTGACAAGAAGTTGGTTTCAGCTTGGAACCAAAACTAGTATACTATTTCTAACTTTCTCTGGCTGTTGTATTCTTGTAAGTGTTTCAGGAAGTCAAGATTATTGGAAAAAGTCTGAAAAAAAAGTGCAGTAAAAATATACGTCTTCCTGACAATACTTGTAATGCCTAGAAACAGATTACTCAAATAAATAATACAAACACAGAATCACAGAATCACAGAATTGTAGGAGTTGGAAGGGACCTCCAGAGATCATCGAGTCCAACCCCCCTGCCAAAGCAGGTTCCCTACAGCAGGTCGCACAGGTAGGCATCCAGGCAGGTCTTGAACATCTCCAGAGAAGGAGACTCCACCACCTCCCTGGGCAGCCTGTTCCAGTGCTCCGTCACCTCACTGTAAAGAAGTTCCTGTCCACATTTGTGTGGAACTTCCTATGCTGCAGTTTCTGGCCGTTTCCCCTTGTCCTGTCTCCACTCACCACTGAAGAGTCCAGCCTTGCCATTGTGCCTCCCACACCATCTACAGACTACCATCAATTTTATAAATAGGGTTATGGCTATTTACATAGATTTATATTACTTTTCATGGTGACTTTTTTAGGTTAAAAGTGTAAGAAGTTCTTCTGTACGCGTATTTAAATTGCATGATGTATTTTCAAAAACAAATCATACTATCTTTTTCATCTATTAAAAAAATTGATGTATGCTTTGTTTTTTTGTGCTTCATATGGAATCATAAGCAGCAAAGCTGTGCACTAATAGCAGATTTTAAAAAGCAATTTGGAATAGCAATCCTGGCAAATAATAACTGAGCAAGATTCTTCGTTTTTCTTCTGAAAGAGATTAGCTCTGTTATGGGGCAGCATATTATCACAAAACTGCAGGCAATTTTTAAGTTGTTCCCATCCATAGATCTTATGAGAGCTTACAAGGATGGAAAGTTGACATTGTTACTGTTCTAAAATGATTCTGCCAAGAGACAGAGAAAGATAACATGACTTGAAAAGTCAGAGAGGTGGTGAATGTCCCATCCTTGGAAACATTCAAGGTCAGGCTGGATGGGGCTCTGAGCAACTTTTTTGAGCTGTTCATTGCAGGGGAGTTGGACTAGATGACATATAAGAGTCCTTTCCAACTCAAATGATTTTATGCTTTTATAACAGGTGAGAGATTTCTCAGATCACTCAAGTTCATCTGTTTGCCACTTGGATGTCATGAGTTTTCTTAGGCTCTCATCAGCTTGTATGTAGGGCCCCTTCTTCCTTTCTGCAGGAGATCCAACTACTTCAGCATTAGACTTTCTATTGGATTCACAAAACTTCATATTCTAGAAACAAAATGTTGTGGTCCCTTCCCATGAAAATTTAATGTCTGTGTTCCTGGAGGTGAAGTAATCTTTCAGATTGATTTGCTGGTACCCCTTTTGCTTTTATTATCTTATATATTCTGTATTGTAGAATAGAAAGCAGGAATGGAACAGCTTTGTAGATGTTCTAATCAGAACTCTGTGAGATAGTATATGAGATTCAGGATGGTTTTGTTTGAAGTAATGTCTTTGATTAATCTCTGAGCCTGTCACTGAAAGAAAAAAGATTAGGTGTCTTGAGAAACACCAAATAAGCTTGTTTCAGTGCTGTGCTGTGTCAAAACAGTCTTGTTTTCGTGGTCATAACACAGTCTTCCCTCAGAAGGACTGCTGGCATCCAGGTGAAGTGAATGCAGTATGTGGGATAAATGCTCAGAACATGATTATTTAATGTTACGTGATATTGGATGGAAAGATTATTTAAGAGTGTGGCTGGAGAAGGACTTGTTTGTGCCTGAAGAAACAAGAATTAGATCTGCATCTCGTCTTCCATTGCAACTGGATTTTGAATAACGTTTCTCACAGGAATAGTCTCAAAGCTTAAGAAAAGCACTATCTGTTTTAGTCTTGCTTCAATTCCTGCAAAGAAACACTTTCTCCTTCAACCAGAAATGCAGCTCATTACTACTTATGTTTGTGGGTGGCTCAGTAGCTAACAACATTGGAGTTACAGCTTGCAGGAAATTTTGCTGGCTGGAATTGCATCTGGTTTCTTTGGATGTGAAAGGAGGCTGTGATCTACTTCTCTCATGAATGCTAGGGTCATCTTCATTAAGTCTGTAGCACTTTGGTCTTTGGTGGCAAAGACTAGTTTGCTCAACAAGAAAGAGCTGGCTGCATTAAAGTACTGCACACGAACACCTAAGTACTGAGATTGAAAAACAATATGATTATTAAATTCAAAGAACTGACAAAGCTTTTCACAGATGTGATCAACTTGATAAAATCTGATTGGGTTGTTTGTTTGACAAGAAGGGTAGGGTGGAGTATCAGAAGCCTCTTGATCAAAGAACATCAGCTTTCTATCACATTCTCAGTTGCTTCCCCAAAACACATGGATTGCAAATCACAAATACAGGAACTTGGAGTCAAGCCTGTAGTGAGGAAGGGTTCTAACCTGAGATAAAAATCTGCCTTAGCTCCACTGGTGGTAGTGCTCACAGCTGTCCTCCAGATCTGACTTCAGTCCTATTGTAAAAATGCCCTGGATCTCTGAGACCAGTTGGTAACTCAAGAGCCATGAGTTGTGTTCCTAAAGCTAACGTGTGCCAATTCCCCTGCATGCACATAAGCTTTTAAATCACTTGTGTTTTACACTTCTAAATCTTGGCAGCCCAGGCTGTTGGGTGAGCTCTCAGTTTGGCCAAGGCACCTTCTCTGAGGTTGCACACTTCGTAGAGGAACACATTTGAAAATAACTCAGCTGCTGAGATGTTTTTCAAGCAAACCACTTTTCTTTGAGTGATGCTTTTTCTGGATTCCACGTAGCTGAATCTGCTTGTAGCAAACATCAACCACAGCACAGTGTTTATCTGTTTTTTCTGTAATGACATTAGCTACACAGTAAGCACAACAGAAGCTGTAAGGAGCAGGAAATAAGTAGTCTTCATTTTGTTTGTTAAGATTTCAGAAAGAAAGAAATCTCATTTTTAACAAACAACATTGCATTCTGTGTCCATCATTTTTAAGGTGTGAAATATGAGAGGACTTTTCATAGCATCCTATGTCTTAGTACCCTTGAGAGCTCTGAAATGAAGGTTTGATAAGATTCATTTTTTAATCCATCTATTTTACTGCTTTTAAATCTTCCTGGGAAGGACATGATTTAAAATGTTGTGGGGACAGGAGAAGATCTCTCTGTTAGCTATGTTAAACTTTGTCCCCAGCATGCTCTATTCCTCATGACAATGTACTAAATCAAAGTAAGTAAAATATGGGTGATTTCTTTCTGAATGCTTAACAAAATGAAGTCTGGCAGTGTGGTGGTTACCAATGGACAGGAAGTAATTGGGACTATGCATATCTCTAAGCATACACATACCAACAGGCACACAAGAAAATATTCAGCTGATAGAACTCTCAACAACTTCTGCATCCATATACCTTTGACAAAGGAGAATCTTTTCAGTCTAGGTAACTTGAATATCTCTGTATGTTTTCAAGAAAACTATTATTATTACATTTGAGTGCTGAAGTTAAGAATCCTTCTCTATTTCTTCCGTCTTTCATTAAACCACCAATAGCAACTGTCCTGAAAAAAATGAATGAGTGAAGTTTCTCAGGTGCTGTAAGACAGTTCTCTGTTTATATGTGACAGTTGTAGATGTATTTCCTAACTGCTGTCAAATGGTGACATAAGAATTACTGCAGAGTTCAAGGCTGTTGTTTATTTGGTTAGAAAGCATGAGCATTTTATTCAGGGCAAACGTTTGCATTAGGAGGCTTTTCAGGGACAGGATGCTAGAATAAAGCCCTGGAGACCCAACTTCTTTTTCAGTCTCTTCTGGTGAGTCTTCATTACTAATTGCACTGTGACAAGAAATGTTTGCTCCCAGCTAAAACTAAGAGATTGTGTTGTGCTTTTAACTTATGAAGCACTGCTTGCATCAACGTGTACTCTTAATGAACCCTACTGGCATCAACTATTATTTTTAGCAGTTCTAAAATGCTATGAGATGTTTATCTGGGTCTGTTGCTTTTTTTTTTTTTTTAAATCTGAGGTGTCAGCAATGAATATTCTTTTCTGTGATAAATGAAAAGATAGAAACAAGAAGGTGCAGTCCAGGAGAGCAGATCAGAAGAAGACAAGACTAAATTGATATATTAAAGCTAGACTTCCTTTACTTAAAAAATTCAGCATGACAAACCATAAGGAAACTAACATTTCTGAATGCACCTGATTCAATGACAGTTCCGTAAAACAGTGTAGGGAAAAGAATTATTGCAGTAAGAATTAAAAGTGAACAAATAAGAGTCAATTCACTGTGCTCATTAAAACAGCCCTATATATGGTGACCAGCCTATCTAAAGGTATTAGAACATTCAGCAAGGTGGTTTTGTTGATGGTTGGCCTGGAATCACTGTTACGCAGGGAAGGCTTTAGCTACACTTGTCCTTTGAGGCTGAAGCAAGCATGTCCCAAGGAGGGATTTTTCTCCAGCTGTGTCTGTGTCCATCCCTTGGTCTGTCCTCCCCAAAGCAGACTGCTTCAGGGCTCGCTGGCCTCTCCAGTGCCACAGTCACACTTCCACCTTGCACTGATGAGAGCAGAGCAACAACCTCATGTGTATGGTTTGAAAAGTATTGTGAGCCCACTCACAATTTTTGTCCTCTGCCTTTTTAAAGGGAAGCAGTGTTGTATTCTCTGTCTCAAAAGGAGCATTAAAGGATTTCACAGCTGACTAAGGACAGAACAGTGTTCTGCCTTATTAGGGGAAATTAGAGGGAGATGCTGAACTGACAGTTCTTGTTTGAAGTGCTGTCATTTTATGAGGGAAGGGGAAGAGAAAAGGAAGGAGGGAGGGAGAGAAAGAGGGAAGGAAGGAGTGGGGAGAAGGAAAGAAGAAAGGAGTGAGGGAGGGAGAGAAGGAAGAGAGGAAAGTAGAGAGGAAGAAAGGAGGAAAAGGAAAGAAAGAAAGAACAGGAAAAACAGGAAGAAAATGGAGGGAAGAAGGGAGAAAGAGAAAACTGTCTTTCAGTCAACTGTCGTGGACATTTATTATTATTTTTTAAGTGTCCAGTGTCATGCTCTGGGCTGTCTTTAGATCAAGTTCACACAATTTGGTCATTGTTACCCTAAGCACTTTATTTACTGCATCCGTCTCTTTGACAGTCAGTGCCCCAAAGGACAAGATGAAATAATCTTACTGTCCTGCCTCCCATTAATTCTCTTAGTAAAAGTGGTTGATGTGTCAAAGGCTGCATAATAGCTAATGAAAGTTCCGCATCAGCAATTGCCAACAATTTTAGTCTGCTTCCTTTTGCCATCAGCACTTTCATCTCTCTTTATAGAAAGCTTTCAGATCCTTGAATACGTAAAGTGCTTCACATCTCTGTATTTCTTTCTGAGTGACAGATAGCTGTGTAGTTATGCAAGAGAAGTTGGTCTCCCAGTGAATGTATAATTTAAGGCACAATCTTATCTTCAGGTGAAATGAATTATAAAATTGGAACATAAGGTAGATGACAGGTAACTGACAGGGAGGATGCACAGGGGAGGAACATATATGGCTAGAAAGATGAAAAGCACATTTACAGAAAATAAAATAAGTTGATGTATCCTTTTCATCTCAGCAGTCCGAAAGCATGTGGACATGTCACCTCCCATGCAGCGCAAGAGATCAGCAAGTAAGCTTGCATGAGACAATTTGATTCCTACCCAGCTACATTCAGATTGGCATCACTGCCATCATTTCCTAAGGATATCTCCTTTCCTAGCAATGTAGAAATTCAGCTGTACAGAGTCCAGTCTAATACCACACTAACATCTAATGTGCTGGTCTATTTAGGACATTACCTGCGTTTGGGCCCAGTCCCTTCTGCCTTCCCAAAGAGGTATTCAGATATCTTCATTGCAGAATTTAGTAGCACAGATAGGATAACTAAAAATAGTTTTGCTTTTCAGGGCCCTGGACAGCCTGATCTAGTGGGTGGCAGCCCTGCCCATGGCAGAGATTTGGAAGTGGATAGTTTTTAACTATCCCTTCCAGTCCAAACCATTCTATGATTCCTTGATTTTCCTTATGTGATTGTGACTTCACATAAATGTTCTCATATCTAAAAGAGCCCCTTGTAATGTTCAAGCAAGACACCCACACAAACAACAGAAGACACTAATCATGCAGTGGAAACAGTGAAACTGTTCAAAACATTCTAATAGAGGAAACACAGAGCATGTGTGCTTGGAAGCAAGAGTGAGATTAGTTGGGCTCTTTTTGAAAACTGTATTTGTAAAGAACAATAGGTGTGATTTCAAATTGATGAGATCCTTCTAGATTTTTTGAAAAGCATCATTTGAGTGCTCAGAAGTGCTAAGTGTCTGCTGATGAGAGCCATAATAAAATTGGATGTGATGATGCTGAGTTCAGCCACATCTGGATTTTCCAGTTGGCCATTCTTGGAACATGAAATTTTATTTATGTATTATGCTTTCATGAATTCCCATAGATAGCAATGAAAAAAGATTTATGCCCGTATGCAGTTCTAAATTCCTTTGAGGACTACATAAAGTTACTTGATCTGAAATTAAATTATTTTTTTTAAGTATCACAAAAGATAATTCTCCTACTGTTTCTGCTTTTGTAATAGATTCAAATCTTTATTACTCATTTAAATTAAAACTCCTTTTAGAAAGAAAAAGCTCACAGAATCAGACTGCTGAGCGCATTCCAGGGTACTTGGCATGATTATTGGTCTCAGCTTAAAGTGCACACTGTTTCCAAGACAGACATTTGAAAGTTTTTGAAGGGAAGCAGTCCTGCATGCTTGCAGAACTGGACTGTAACAGGCACTGTACAGTCTGTTTGAAACCTCCGTTCCATTAGATGGCATCAATTTTTGATGCATTGTATCCTGCCTACACATTTGCTAGATTGCTTCTGCAGCTGCTGCCTCCAGTATGATTTCACAGCCAAAGAAACACTTCTTATCCTAGTTCACACAGCATAAAGGAAAAGAGAGACAGATGTTATTCAGCCCTCAGCTACATGAACTACCAGAATGGGTGACAAGCTGCATTTGCTTTTTCACTCAGTGGAGAGTAAGTACTAAAGAAATGCAGCACATTTTTTCCCAAGCACTTTTTAGTTTCCTGAAAACTAAAACTGAGTTTGATTTGGATCTGGGCATTTTCACATCTTGTCTCTGCATCACATGCATCTTCAGGAGCTGCAGTCCAGCTTTCAAAAGACTCACTGATGATTACCATACATATACAAGTATACTACGTGAAATGAAATTGGGCACAGGTCTGCAAGTTTTCATAAGGATAATTTAACTTCTGGCTGAGCAGCACTAAGTAAGAATTACTTAATTAACTTCTGAACACTCTGCAGCAGGTGGATCAGTTCACAAAGAGACATCCAGGAGTTGACACTGAGAGTCTGTGGGATTTAGGCAGGTATTACACAGAACATTCCTCATCTTGCTGCCAGGAGAGGAGATGAAATAACTGAACAAGTTCCACTCTCAAGGAGACGATCATCACCTACCTTTAAAAGAGAGTTCTACAGTGAACTGTATGGAGACAGCAGAAGCCCAGTTTGAAGTACTTTACATCTTACTGGCTCACTGAGCTGGGTGTATGTGGCCAGTGCTCTCCCATGCAGCTTCTCTCTGCCTACTGGATGCTTTTAGACAGCCCCATGCTGCCAATGTTCCCTGAAAATGAGGGCCTGTGGTTCTTTCTGGAGTTCCTCTACCCAAGGACCAGGTACCTGAACCATCATTCTATTGATAGGTGTCTTTTGTAGCTCTTTACCTCCAATCTGGTGTATATCCTCTGTGTAAATAACTGCTTAGTTAGATTTTTTTATTTTATTTTATTTTATTTTGCTTTTTTGCCTTTCTTTGCTTTTCTTTTCCTTTTGTAATAGAGGAAAAATAATTACTGTAAATGTGAAAGAAATGTAGCATTGTGAAGGGCACTGCATTGACATTTAAGAAAATACTGCTTTTTAACCTCCTCTTATTTCTGATATTAATGTTTTTTTTCATTTCAGGTGGTACCATATGAAATACAATTTCTATTGCATGAAAGAAAGAAACAATACACCACAGAAGACAGCATCTCTATTTCCAGTTTGGGAACTCTGTTATCCATCTTTTTAGGAGAATGCCAGCTGTGCAGTTTAGTTGAGAAACTTCATTTTATCTAACAGAACTACTTGGTATTAAGAAAATATGAATAATGGACGAACACACTTTGCTTTAGAATCAACTTCAGCAGTAAATTATGGATTCCCATCTATTTTCTGTTTGTTCAAGATTTATGCTTAATCACAAGGTCCTGAAATAATCCATGCAATAATTTGTTTTTCTAACTGGGAGGAAATTTATATTCTCCATAGAATGAAATACTGATAAAAGATAGAAATCAACCTATGTTTTCATGAAATGAGTATAGTTTTCAGCTTTTTTAAATCTCTAGGTGACTGAGATGCATAAGAAAAATCATTTCTGGCTGTTGAGGAAGATGGCCAACAGAATATAGAAGAAGAGAGTTCTGCAGTACATTTTAATTTCTGCAGCAAACTAGGAAGACTTTCATAAATTCTGCAACATCTCAGGGGATAAAGAAAAAAAGCGTGGAAAATTTGTACGTTTGGCTTAAATCCACTAAATCATTATTACTGTTTTATTTTATAAGCCATTAAGATGCCAAATGGGTTTTGTACTTTTTGAAAAATTGCATTTCTATTTTTTGGATTAGCTTAGGTCATTAGTATTCAAACTCATTATCTCCTGGAACTTTTCCTTACTTTCCATTTATTACTGCTCCTCTGAGCATAATGGAGCTGTTTGGGCTGAGCAGGGTCCCAAAGTCATTCGGCTCTAACACGTTATTTGTGCGTATAATCTAACCATAAATCAGTAGGCAGAGACAGAAATTGCAGAGCTAGGGCTTCAGACTCCCTTGTGCTAAATCCATCAGGATGAACAGATTGTAAACTGCCCGCTGCAAATATGATATGCAGCAATTTAGCGTCACGTTAATACTTCATAACCTCCATCCCTTACATTTATATAGCTTTTCCCTCCTGAAGCTTTCTGAAATTGCTTCTCCAGCCACTGCACTGCATGATGCAGTTCAGATTTAATAGGAATAGTTGTGAACATTAGCTTCAGAATAATTTGAGCCCATATGGGTTTTTTTAAGTTTAGTTGTGCAAAACTGTAGCATTTGTTTCTGTTGTTTGTTACCATCTTGTAAAAAAAAGTCGAAGAAAAATACTGACTTTCTTGATGTAGGGGCTTTTCAGTTTCATTGCTTATCTATGGTAATAACTTAAAGCTTTTCAGAAATTGATTTTTTAATGCGGTCTATAAAATAAACCTCCTTTTTTCTCCCCCCTTTCTGTGGAACCGCTACTTCCAGATGGAAGGGAAATACCCATCGAAAGTCACTGTAGAATTGCTAAGGCCATTTGAGTCAGTTTTTGAATGCTTCAGATGATGGCACTATCTATCACTCTTCCCCTTCAGTAATCCTGGGATTTTGGTGGTAGAGATAGCCCTGCTCCTTGTGACCTCAATTTAATTTCCTTTCTCCTGTAATTTATTTCTTCTCTCTCTTGTTGTTGTTGTTGTTGCCTATAGCCTCCTCCTTTTTTTCTCCTTGGAGGGAGGGAATTGTGACTTTATTACCCACAGTTATCCAACAGCTTTCTAAGTGTTTTACTACTTTGAAAGTTTGCATCTCCTGAGTTACCACTGCGAGACACCAAGAACAAGAAAAGGCTTTTAATCTCTCTCTTGAGTAGAGCTTACCTTGTTTTGCAGGAAGGATCCAAACTGTAGGAAAGCAGAGGCTCTTCTCTCAGTCTCTCACAGGACACATGCCCCAGGCACATTGGCTCTCTCTTGAGCTCACCCCAGTTTACTGTTGCTTCACTTCCAAACCAGAAGCAATCATGTGGGAGCGGGCTCATGAGTGCCAAGGTGGATTATCAGCTCACTTGAGCTGCTGGCAGTGCTCTCTCCAATACAGCTGAGGAGACCGTTGGCCAACCCAACTTGCTCTCTTCCAAGGCTTCTTGGTCCCTGTTGGAGAGCTGCTTCCCAGTCAGTCTGTCTGCTGGAGTGGAGACAGTTCTTCCATGTCACCCACAAAGAAGCATGATTCAAGGGTGCGTGTATACAAGCTCCCTTGATTTCCTCTCCTGGATGGGAAGGTCATGCTGTTAAAAGTTGCCTTTTCATGAGGGTCTTCCTGCTCATTACTCTTTTTCACTTCTGCATTTGAAAATAAAAAGCTTTTCTAGATTTTGAGAGTGTTGTGAGAATGAATGTTTTTGCCATGGAGGCCATCTATGTATGGCATGAAAACAACCAGGTGCAGCTCTGTAGCCAGACTCATTCCTGGACCTTGAGGAAGCATCTCATTTATTCAGGGCAACCTGGTTCCTGCTGGTGATGGAGCTGGCACAGGTATAGGGCAGGCTGCTGGGTAGGGGCAGGGTTAAGGTGTCCCCCTGAAGGAATCGCTCCTTTGACTGTTTCCTGAACCTGTTCAATTCCACTGAAGGAAGAAGGAGGGGGCTAAAAAGCAACTGATTTGCTCAGTCATCTTAACCCCCTGTCTTCATCCTGAGTTTTTTGGAAACTGAACATGTGAAGAGGAGAAGGATGTCTTGGTGCAGCCTCTCAGGTACAAGGTGAGGGATAGGAGGAAGAACCTCAGAAGCTGGTGGGGGAAGTAGGTGTGGAGGTGAGGTGGAGCAGAATGAACAAAAATGACAGAAAGGCAGAGCTGATGGCATACAGGAATGTGTGAAATAGTCATTGGGTGAGAGGGAGAACTGATGAGGGGACTGAAGGAAAGATGCTCTGTCACCTTAAGAATAAGAATAGTAAAGGCTGCTGATACAGTGAGATAAGCCAGGGCAGTAAGAATAACAGTTTTACAAGTCTAGTGAATGGCTTGAGAGTCATTTAAAGGTGTGTAAAAGTTGTTTGATTTACCCAGCATTCTGGCTTTCATTTAAGTGACACTGTCTGACTCCAGATCTGGCACCTTTTGTTGAATGCCTTTCAGCTTCACCCCTTTAGCACAGAAGAGGAATAGCTTACATTTGTTTGAGTAATGCCTTCACCCCTTCCTCTTTGCAGCAGCAGCAAATTCAGTTCACTAAGAATTACAATGAGGCCTTGCTACAGACTTTTTAGACTCTTTTGCCCATTATTGTACTATTAAAGAAGAAATATTCTTTCACTCATTTGAAAGGCAAAATGAATAGCTGGTGCTCTTTCTTGAGTCTATTAGAGCATCTATCTCAAAGATGGTAATGAGAAGCTGTGAAAAGGAGATCAAAGTGGGTAGGCTAATAAGTTCTTAGCAGATCTGTGCTCAGAGACTTTTGGGGTACAGGTGATAAAGGGAGAATGAGCACTGCAGATCTAGCACAATCAAATTAACTGTCTTCTTTCCTTTCAGCTTCACTGCCTTTAATGTTCTTGTCTTTGCCTTACTTCCTTCAACTCCACACAGATTTTTCCTTTACTTCAGAAGTGCTGTTATTCCAGTTCTGCTGGAACTAATCAGATGTCATCTCCTGTTTATTTTGAACAATGCTGAAGAATTCTTTGACTCTTTTCTCTAGTACAACCTTGAAAATTATCTCTGTTTTCAGACAGTATGCCCTTTTCTGCCTTTGAAACATATCTTTCCTCTTCCATCTGTTTAATACAGGTCAATTTTTGAGATTTTATTGTCTTTTTTTTTTTTAATGCAAAACAGCACACCATCAGCAATACAATTCTATAAGCACAGCATTGTGAGTGCTGAGGTTGATATCTGAGCATAGAAAACGTACAGGCTGCACAATAAAGCAGCTGTTCATATTTTCATATTCTCAGCAACAAAGGTTGACCTGAAACAGAAAAAAATGCGTCAAGTCCAGAGGGCTTTCCAGTCAGACTATGAATCTCAAAGTAGGTCAGACTGGCTGAGGGTGTCACTTTAAGCCTTGCTCTCAGATGGTTTTTAAAAGAACTCAGGAAAGTAGTTTTCCACTCTTTACATTCTTTTGAGACTAACAGAAAGGACAGGGCTGTCATTTGAGATAGAAGCAGAATGTCTCGAAGATAATCCTATGAGCAGGGTGACTGCTTGTGTGCTAAAAACCACTTCTCTGATTCCGAAAAAAAAAGGGGGGGGAGGGATGAAAATCTGTATTTGTAACTCAAAATACTGTGGGGTTTCAGACTCATTCAGATCACTGTGAATTCTGACCAGTGGGTGACACTGGAGACATTAAAAAGATGTCAAGTTGTAATAAGTGTAATTTTGTATATAAAGGCATATTTTAGAGAATGATGTTAAGGGCTTCAGTGGGTGATCTAAGCAACATGAAAGAAGTAGAAGAGACAGTTCTTTGGTGGCTGTCTGAAGCAATGGATGCTGGAGTGTAGGAGCAAATCACGGGGAAGAGATGTTTACACATGAACAGACTACACCCAGTAGTTCAACAAATGCCAGAGCACACTCACTGTTCCGACTAGGAAAAAGGTGAAAGAAGGAAGAATTTCCCATGAAAGTTTATGGCAACGTCTGTCTTTGTCAGGCTCTCAATAAAATCCCCTCAGTCAATCCAAAGGTACATCACAAAATCAGAAATACTTCACTCAGTACACTTCTCATCACGTTATTCTTTATAACACTTTTTGGTACGCTGTCCCAGTTCTGTATCTCAAATGATTTATTTGACTGACGGAAATATACAAGCCAATGTAAATAAAATATTCTGGTTACATATATGTAGTGCTTTCTAATAAAATAGTATTTGCCTAAAATTGATTTAAAGATTCAGCATTACAGTTCTCTTGGGATAAATCTGAGATCACACGGAGTATCCCTAAGTTTATACTGTGTCCTGTTCCTATCTTGTATGGATGTGAGCACTCAATGCTACACGTTATTTCTATAACTCCTTTTACTTCAGGGCAAAAAACTTTATTCAGTACATACATAATTTAAGCAAGACAGCGAAACCTCTCACAAGGAATAGCTCAGACAAGCAATCTTTGTCTTAAGAATGTCCCTCAACCATTTAAACATTATCCCCTGAGGCTTCTAATACAGTATTGTTCAGCCCCCGCTAAAAAGCACCACTATTAGTTATCACATTTTTCTGGCAGGCTTAACACTATATATTCTGCACTGTATTTCAGAGGAAAACAAAAGCTCCATAAGGAA